CCCGCGTCCCTCTGCCCAGTGCCACACGCCAACCTTCCCTCTGTTGGCGACTATGGCATGACCCCACCAGAGCTCCCCACTGCTGGCCCACGCAGCACGTGCCGCAGGGAGGGGCACAGGTACCTACAGCCATAATCCACCGGGATCACCCGCACGCTCTTGGTGGAGGCAAAGACGTCGACGACGGCGTAGAGCGGGCGGGCGGCGGGCAGGCCCCTGGCGCTGGGCCCCATGTCCTCGCCGTTGATGACGATGTGCATGTCGGCGGTGCCGTCGGGCCGGGGGGCGTACAGCACCCCGATGCGGCTGCGCCGGGCGGTGGCGGGCAGCACGTTCATCTTGTACAGGTCATCCAGGATGTGGCTGTAGCGGCCGGGCCGGCTGCGCCCCACCAGCGTGTCACGGGGGATCCGCACCCGCTCGATCACCAGGAAGGGCTCCCAGGGCCGCCCCCGAGCCTGCGCCTCCTGCCCCTCCAGGACCACACGGTTGTGGTTCCGGGTGATGGCGAACACCCAGGTGTCCCCCAGGTTGACCAGGTCCGGCAGCGAGTACTCGGGCACTACCTCCAGGCTCTGGGGATCGTGCGCTGTCAGTCCCACGCGCAAGTGCCCGCACCAGCCCAGCTCCTTCTCCTCAATCTCCACCAGGAAGATCTGCCCGGGCGCCAGAGGCTCCTGGCTGAAGCAGAGCCCGTTGGCGAAGCTCTCCACCCGCGTGGCTTGCGTGTGTGAGGCATCCAGGCGGATGTTGGCGCCGTGGATGTGGTGGAAGCGTGCAGCAAGCCGGCACCGGGCAGCCATTGCTGCCGGGGCTATTTTTAACTGTCCGTGTCACAGCTGCTGTGAGGTGCTGACAGCCCGGCGGGGAGGGACAACCGGAGGGCTCAAGAGGGGTCCTAGTGCCATGGGGGAGGCTGGGGGGGCCCTGTGGCTGCTGGGCACAACTGGGCCCAAACCAGACCCACAGGCATTCCACCCTGGACTGTCCAGCGCTGCCACCTGGGCCGGGGTGCCTGGCTGTGCCCATGCTGCCCAGCAGCAGCTGGCAGTGCCCGGCGGTGCCCAGTGGTACCAGCAGTGGCCAGTGGGCATCACGCGGCGATGCATGGCAGTGCCTGGAGATGTCCGGCTTTACCCAGCGGTGCTGGGTGGCACTCAGGTGTGGCCGGTGGTACCCAGCTGTAACCGGTGGTGGGCGGCAGTGCCCACCGGCACCCGGCTTGGGTACGGGGGCTCCATCGGTGCCCCCCGCACTGTCCCGGTCCCGGCCCGGGGCCGCTCCCACGTGCGCGGGCAGGGCCGGGGCGGGGCCGACAGCCCCCGGGGCGCTGATTGGCCGCCGGCGGGCCCCGCCCCGCTCACGTGAGGGCCGCAGGTCATATGGGTGCGTGTCATGTGCCCGCCGTGACCGCCGCCTGCGAGCGCCGCGCCGGGAGCGGCCGCGGTCGACTGCGCCGGGACGGGGGTCGGCCCCGAGCGGGGGGCCGGACCGGGGCAGCCGGGCCGAGGCGCTCGCGGGGCGCTGCCGCGGCCGTTCCCGGCCGACAGCGCCCTGACCGTGCCTTCCGCCCACCGCAGATGGGGCCGGTGTTGCTGTCGTCGCTGCTGCTGCTGGGCTTGGGCCGGGCCGCCCCCCCGGACCATGAGGTGACCTACCTGCCCGGGCTGCCAAAGCAGCCGTCCTTCCGCCACTTCTCGGGCTACCTCTGCGCCGGGCCGGGCAAGTACCTGCACTACTGGTACGTGGGACTGCGCCTGGCCACGGGGGGGCATCGGCTGGCACCGGGCACTCACAGCTGCACGTCCACAGGTTCGTGGAGGCCCAGAGCAATCCCCAGAACAGCCCCCTGGTGCTGTGGCTGAATGGGGGCCCTGGCTGCAGCTCCATGGAGGGCTTCCTCAAGGAGCATGGCCCCTTCCTGGTTAGTAGTCACTGCTGTCCCGTGGCTTGAGGACTCAGGGGATGACCGGCTGCATGGCACGAGCCATCCCGCTGTGTCCTGTCCTGCTTTGCCCATCAGTCACCACCTTCTTCCTCAGATCCAGCCTGATGGGGTCACACTGAAGTACAATGAGTACGCATGGAACAAGGTACAGGCACTGCTTTTCTTTGTGGCTTTGAGATGGGGTGGCCTTGAGCCAGTTCCTCCTGCTCTCTCCATGGAGCCGACCACTGCTCCCCTCCCACCCAACACACCCTCCTCTCAAGTGTGCTGTTGAGCAGCACAGGAATGTGGCCACCCCAGTGCAGCCCTGGGGCGGGCCGCGCTCCTGTGGCTGCTGCCATGGGCGGGGCTAGCAGTCCTTGGCCCCACCGAGCCAGAGGAGCCCTGATTGCTGGCTCCTCTGCTATCCTTGCAGATTGCCAACATCCTCTACGTGGAGTCCCCCGCTGGTGTCGGCTTCTCATACTCCGATGACAAGAAATATGGCACAAATGACACGGAGGTGAGTGACTGGGAGAGCCCTGCTCCCCTGCCTGCCCACTCCTGGCTATGGGGTGCAGCTTCACCACCTGACCGTGCCACTTTCTTCCTGCAGGTTGCTCACAACAACTACCTGGCGCTCAAGGACTTCCTCCGGCTCTTCCCCGAGTACTCCAAGAACGAGCTCTTCCTCACAGGGGAGAGCTATGGAGGGATCTACATTCCCACACTGGCAGAGTGGGTGATGCAGGACCCCAGCCTCAACCTGAAGGTGGGCAGCTTGGCTCTGCCCAGCCGGGGAGCAGAGGGCTTGGCACAGCCAGGGTGGGACCAGTTAGGATGCAGGGCACGCCTGGCCCTGCAGCCTTTCATCTCTTCCTGGGGTTCTGGCAGCAGCTGCTGGTGGACGTGTCTGTCCCTGCTGCCAGGGGAGTGTCCTCAGGCACCCCCAACCCTCCCTGTTCCCTCTGCAGAGTAAACAGTTCCACATCTGCTTCCTGCCTGCGGCTGCTGTGCTGTGACTGCCCCGCGGGGAGCTGGAACACAACAGGGTTGTTTTCTTCTTGCCTCGCAGGGAATCGCTGTGGGAAACGGCCTCTCATCTTATGAGATCAATGACAACTCCCTGGTTTACTTTGCCTATTACCACGGGCTGCTGGGGACCGAGTAAGAGCAGAGGGAATGCTGGATGTGCCATCCCTGTGCAAGCAGGATGGGTGCACAGCTGAGGCTGGGGCTGTCTGGGTCGGTGGTGTTGAGACAAGGGCAGTGCCTAGCCTGCCCTGGGCCAATAGCTGGGCTGTAGCTCCTTGTCCCAGGGCAGCTCCCATGGGTGGGTTTGTTTGTGGGGTAAAGAGGGCACGGGGCCAAGTTGTGTGCCTTGTGGCCACTGGGCAGAGAGCTGCAGGGCAGCTGTCATGTCAGTGTTGCCATCTGTCCAAGTGGTCCCGGTCTCTGCTCGCAGGTTGTGGCAAGACCTGCAGGCTTTTTGCTGCTCCCAGGGGAAGTGCAACTTCCATGACAACTCCAACCTGAATTGCACACTCAAGGTAAGGGGAGCCGGAGGCCCTATACACATACTGAGCACCACGTGCCTGGGCCCACAGGTCCACAAGAGTCCTGCTGAGTCCCAAACCCTTCTTGTGATTCCTTGCAGATGGGGGAGATGATTCAGATTGTAGAGGAGTCTGGCCTCAATATCTACAACCTGTATGCCCCATGCGATGGAGGTGTCCCCGGGAGCATGAGGTGAGAGCTTTAGTTGCACTGGCACAGAGGGACAGGGTGGGCTGGGCAGGGGGCCCCTCTGGGACAGATGGATGGTGTGTGGCTGCTGCTGAGGACTCCCCCCAGGAGAGCCCTTAGCCCTTGTTCTCCAGGGTTTTCAGTCTGTCCTCATACTCGCTCTGGCTACAGATATGAGGGTGATTATCTCATCACACATGACCTGGGCAACTCCTTCATCCGGATGCCACTGAGGTTCTCCTGGCGGCAGGTGAGCCGAGGTGCCTGTGCTGCTGGGCTGTGAGCAACCTCTGTTCAACCAGTTGTGCTGCTGTGGGCAGCAGGGGCAGAAAGCAGCTGCTCCGTGGGGCAGGTGCTGCTGTGACAGTGACTCTCCCGACTCTCCCAGAACCTGTTCCGGATGCCAGTAGCCCGAAAGAAGGTCCGGATGGACCCGCCCTGCACCAACTCCACAGCCCCCAGCATGTACCTGAACTCCCCCGAGGTGCGGAAGGCTCTGCACATCTCCCCCGAGGCCCCAGAGTGGCAGGTGTGCAGGTGAGCAAGCTGTGGGCAGGGAGGGATTACTCTGAGAAGGAGCAGACATGCTGCCAATGCTTCCTCCACAGCTTCGACGTGAACCGCAGCTACAAGCGCCTGTACATGCAGATGAATGAGCAGTACCTCAAGCTGCTTGGAGCCACGGTGTGTGCAGGGGAGCCCACAGACCCTGGGAGTGTCTCTGCCAGCTCAGCCTCCTACCTGGCTGGGGCTGCTGCCCTGCCAACAGCTCACTCTCTGTCTGCTACACAGAAATACCGGATCCTGGTGTACAATGGGGACGTCGACATGGCTTGTAACTTTCTCGGGGATGAGTGGTTTGTGGATTCCCTGTGCCAGAAGGTAAATGGGCAGGGCCCAGGCTAGGCCAGTCACTGGCTCTAGGCTATGTGCTGTAGGTGGCTGTGGCAGGAGCATGGGCAGGGCCAGCCGCAGGTGCTGAAGGCACTGCTGCTACTCCCAGGTGCAGGTAGCTCGCCGGCCCTGGCTCTACACTGAAAATGGTGAGAACCAGATCGGTGGCTTTGTGAAGGAATTCACCAACATCGCGTTCCTCACTGTCAAGGTAGGGCTGAGGGCTCTGGGGGCCAGGGATGGGGCTGTGGGTGGGTGTGCTGGATACTAAGGCTGCACTCAGGGTTGGGTGGTGTCAGTTGGGCTGTGGCAGCACCCCAGCCACACTGCCACCACTGTCCCTTTCCTACAGGGAGCTGGCCACATGGTGCCCACAGACCGGCCACTTGCTGCCTTCACCATGTTCTGCCGCTTCATTAAGAACCAGCCTTACTAAGAGCTGCAGAGCAGTGCCCGGCGCTCCAGCTGCTCTCAGCACCCCACCCGCCCTCACCACCGGCACCTTACACAGCCCGTCCTCGCTGCTGCTCAGCTACAGGGGCCTGTCACGCCTGCAGCCTTCCCCCGGCTAGACAGGGTAGGGAGCATGGGCTGGGGGACTCTGTCCTTGTGGGAGAGGCATTGTGCACCTACTGCAGCCACCTCCTCCTTTGTGGCTTCCTGTCTTGCCTCCTCCCTGTCTGTGGTGGCAGCTGCTTCCCTCCCAGGCAGGGAGCAATCCCCAGCACTTCCCCTTGGCCCCACACGCACACGGCCTGGGCAGGCTATGAGGAGCAGCAGCAGGGAGCAGCTGGGTCCTACTCACCTCTACCTTGGCTCCCACCACCTCTGCTCCCACTGAAGGAGACTTACCACCACTACCACAACAATCCCACTGCCAGGGCATGCAGTGCTTCAGGAACTCGCAATAAACTCTGACCAAGGTGGTTCTGCTCCTCCTCGCACCTTTGTGCCAGCCCCTGCTTCGCTTTCCTCTGCTCTCTGAGGAGCACCAGTGAGTGACAATGCCCTTTGCCAGGGAGCCCTGGGCTCTGAGCTGTGCCCTTTCTGTAGGGGTCCCTGCATCCTGGAAATGAGTGACCCACATGTGACAGCAGCAGAGTCACTCTGAGCCCTCTGGCACTGCACTAAGCTGCATCTGCTCCTAAGGACCCAAGCTGGGCAGCAGCATCAGCTGCTTCCTTTCCATCTCCCCAGCATGGACATGTCCTCCAGGCAACGAGGCCATGTGGTTGGAGTCAGGTGGTTTATTAGTGTAATGAGCAGGGCTGCAGCAGGGATTCCCAGAGCACCCTCTCCACCTTGCTGCGCCCAACCAGGGCCTGGACGCCCTGACAATGTGCTGGTGGTACCAGGGAAGCTGCTTCCTACCTACAGTCTACGGGTCCAGCCCGGGATCTGCCCTTGGTCCAGGGAGGAGAGCTAGAGCGAGCTGGGGTCCGGGCTGGGCTCTGCAGGCTGGGAGCTGGAGTAGGCAGCAGTGGTCGGCACCGGGCGGTATTTCTCAATCACCTCCCGCAGCCCCTTGGAGAAGTGGAGATCAGCTCCCACTGTGAGGAATCCCTGCAGAGGGAAGAGGGGTCAGTGCAAGGCTGGAGGTGACAGTGCCCTTCCCAGCAGGACATGGAGGCACAGGCTGTGCCTATCCCACCACATACCGCATGATTGGTGACCACCTCCCTGGTGAAGTCCATGCCTTCGGGCAGTGGGATCTGCACCCCCTTCTTTGTCCTCTCTGCAGACAGGGAGAGCGGAGATGAGGCTGAGCCCTGCTATGCTCCTGCCTACACTCCCAGTTGTTTGGGAGCAGTGATGCCTACCGTTAATGATGGGCATGATGGTCAGCTGCAGCAGGGTCTTCAGTGGGGCCTGCAGTGAGAACAGCTGCAGGAGAACAGCTGGGGTCAGTGTAGTGGCAGAGCTGCCAGCCAGGGCAGGCAGGGCTGTGAGTGGGGATCCTGAATGGACAGCCTCTCCCCAGCCCAGCCCACCCCTGTGGCTGGGTGCAAGGGTTCCCAGGCCATCACCGTGCTCTCACCGCAAGCGACTCCAGCGCTGACTGCTTGGAATAGATGCGGAACCTGGGCAGAAGGAAGCAGTTGTGAGTGAGGTGTGGAGGGGACTCCCCCCGTGCCCCCATGGGACCCCAGCCATACCGTCGTAGGTCCAGCTGCACACGCAGCGCCTTCCCTTGCAGAAACACCTTGGCACTCAGCTTGGTTTCCTGGGGAGGGAGAGGGCTGGCTCAGCAGGCAGAGGACAACCAGGCCAGCTCATGCCACAGGTCCAGTGTCCCTCTGCTCAGCCTTACAACACAGGATGGGGGACACTGCTCCTGTGTATACTGGGGTGACTGCACAAGGAGCCCCAGCTCCCTTCTTACCATGGCCATGCTGGAGAGCTGGACAGGTGGGCGATCCGGGGGCACCAGTGAGATGTTCAGGAAAGCAGAGACAGAAACTGAGGTCCCCGAGGGTTTGATGGTGCAGCGGGGGGGAGCAGAGACCTGCAGCACCAGCCGCAGCGGGGCATCCACAGAAGGGCTCTGGGGAAGGCAGGTGAGTTGGAGGCTGTGTGCAGGGCAGGGCTGTGCTCTGCCCTGGGGCTCTGCCATGCCTTCCATCCTATCTGGGGGCCCCTTACCAGCATGAAGATGGTCCCAAAGAATGTGGCTCTCAGCAAAACCTCCAGGTCCTTGGGCACCTGTGAAGAGCACAAACCACTGGAGGGGGAGCAAGCCACTGCTGCAGGTCCCAGCAAAGCTGCTCCCTGGATGGGACCTCCTTTGCTCTGTGACACAGCCCATCCCTCCCTCCTGCCTGCCTGCACACAGTCCGAGTGTCTGGTGCTCCTTACCTTCTCCCCCTGGAGCTCTATGGTCAGTACTCCTGCCTGGAAGTACGAGTGCATGGCTGAGTCGAAGAAGTACTCAGAGAAGGCAACGTAAACCATGCGTTCAGTCTCCTTGATCACCGGCTCCACCGCGTGGTTCTCCAGCTCCTGGTCCTCTCTCACCCGGGGGAAGAACATGCCCTGGACCAAGAGCAGGAGAGGTTCCCACAGCCATGGGGCAGCCCTCACCTACTCCATGGAACCTAACGTGCCTGCTGGCACAGCCATTTCCACAGGGATGGGGAAGGACCAGCAAGGCAGGACCCAGTGTTCACCTTGAAGTCGAGCTCAAGGGTGTCGGTGGTGATGGACGGATCCCGTAGGAGGGAGTAGTCAATCCCAATATGCTCATCCACGTAGTTTCTCACTGCCAGGGAAGATGTGCTGCTGTGACTTAGCCTGGAGCTGCCTGGCAGCTTGATGCCCAGCCCTGTCTGCCCGACAGTGAATGGGATCCAGTCCCTTTCCCAGGGCAACACACACCAGGCACTGTGTCCAGCAAAGAGTTCAGCAGCACCAGGCTGGCATGCTCCAGGGATGGGCAGATCTGCAAGGCAAGGAGCCAGGCTGAGTGGAATCACTCCCAGGACTGGATGAGGAGCTGCAGAGGCAGGACAAGGCCCAGCAGATGGGTGGGATACAATTCTGCCCTCTCCCACACACAAAGGGCTGAGCTCTAACATCCCACAGCCCCTCTGTGCTCAGCTGTACCTGCTGGCTGAGGAGGAAGCGCATCCCTGTGACGATGAAGGTGCTCAGGAACTCATAGACCTTCCTGGAGAACACAAGAGTGGTTCTGCACTGCCTGTTTTCCCTGTGGCTCTGTGCCCATTCCAGCACACAGCTGGGCTGAGGAAGCACTGAAGGTGTGGGAAGGGGGTCAGGGAGCCAGGCGCACACAGACGGGTCAGGTGTACCTGAGTGTGCCAGAGAAGCCAGCGTGCATTCTCGCTATGGAGGCATTGCAGGTCATATTGGAGATCTTGAGGCGCCCAGCCTCATCCTTGGCCAGCTGCAGCACTGTGTGGATGTAGACACCATCCGCAGAGGCATTGATGGACCCAATGTCGTAGCTACAAGCCAGGAAAGCAGATGAGAGGAGCACACAGCTCCTGCCAGCTGCAGGGCAGCAAGGCACCTGTGGCACCCAGCATGCACAGCTATGGGGTGGGCTAGCACCCAGAGCAGGTGGAAGGGGAGGCAGCTCACAAGAACCAGTAGAGCAGCTGCCTGCGGAAACGTAGGCTAATGGAAGCATTGTTGATGTTGAAGACAAGGTTCTGCTGTGGCTGGAAGTTCAGGTCTGAAAAGGCCAGCTGCAGGTCTGTCACCTTGACCCTGCAGGGATGGGACAGGAGTGGTTAGACAGACAGATGGACAGGGGAAGCCGTGGGCAGCAGGTAGCACTCACTGGCTGATGTTGTACTGGAACTGCCCCTCATTCCCATGCAGGTCTGACACCGTGATGTTCTGCAGCTCCTGCTCCACAAAGCGCAGCCCCTCCTGCTTCACTGCAGGATAAAATGAGGCTGGGTTGGGACGTGCCCTCCTGGGAGCATTGCCCCTGACAGTCCCCACTCCTCCCGGCCACCCCATGGTGGGGCAGTGCAGGCAGAGCCCTACACAAGCACAGACCCCAGGAGGGTACCCAACGTCCCTCTTCCCAGACTGTGAGATCCTGGCCGTCCCCTTACCCAGGTCCAGCCCCTTAGAAGTAATCCGGATTTTACAGCCAGGAGGGCTGTGTGAAGCTGCGAGCAGCGAGGGCAAAAGGAGGAGAAGAAGGCAGCCACCGGCAGCCATCCCGCACCTGGAGGCAGAGAGCAGGGTCAGCACGGACTGGCCTGGGGATGTATACGGGTGTCAGCACAGACAGACCCGGGGGACGCACTGGAAGGGAAGTTCTGCTGTCCGACGTGCCCGGGGCAGGGCATAGCTCCAAGGAGCACCCCGCGGCTCCTCTGTTCTCCCTGAAACCCCGCAGTGCTGCCCAGGTCGCTTTTGCCCGAAACTCTGGAGCAGCAGCCCATGATGGGCACGGCTCCCACCCCAGCGTGCTGTGCACAAGCCCCCACACTGGCCCTGTGGAGCCCGAGGGTCCCACATGTGGGAACACCCACTGCAGACTCCCCCGCGCTGAACACACCCCGCTCCCCAAACCGCAGGGACCGGCGCCAGCCCCGTGCGAGCTGCTGCAGCGGGGAGCCCCAGCAGAGCAGCGAGCCCTCGCCCGTGGGGCCGTCCCAGAACCGTCACAGCCCCCCCGAGATGTGCCGCCTGCCCCCAGGCTGGTTGGAGACGGGAGCTGGAGCCTGTCCATCCCGCAGCAGCAGGCAGAGCTCCGTGCGAGCCCGTGGGATGGGACGGGGCTCCCACACAGCTTCCCCCAGTCTCGGAGAGGATGGGGACCCCCTCCCCGGGGCTGTGCGATGGGACGGGGCTCCCGCACAGCGTTTTCCTCCAATTCTGTGAAGGGAGAGGATGGGGGATCCCCTTCCCCGGGGCCCGGAGCCACCGTCCTGCCCAGAGGCTGGGGGGCTCCCCCACACAATGCCGGCTCAGTTCGGGTACTTACAGCGAGGCTTGTCCTTGGCTCCCGGCGTGGGGAAGCTGAATCACGTGAAGGCAGGAGGGAGGGAGAACACCACCAGCTCCAAGACTTTCTTTTGAGCTGGCTGAGGTTTCCCTGCCTTTATATAGCCCCCAACTGCCACTCCTTGTGGGCTCACAGCTGGGAGGAGACAGCGGAACGGACGGTCGGGGAGGATGCAGGTCTGTGTCCCGCCGAGCCCGGCTGGCTGCCAGCAGCGGCACAGACAGCGGCTCGCCTGGCCACCTCCAGACTGGACGCGAAGCCTTCTTCCCCCCGAAAACACCGCTCCCCGCGTCCTGCACACGCAGCCACAGCCGTGGGTACCTCCGGCACCCCCCGTGCGAGGGGCACATGTGCAAACGGCAGTGTCCGGCAGGGCCTGGGCTGTTGGGGACTGCCAGTCTGTGTTATGCAGCTTCTGCCAGTGCTCGGCTATCCCAGCTCCAGTGCCGACCCGGGCCGGGGGTGCTGCTGGGGGCTGCTTCATGGCTATCTGTAACATGAACCTGAGCAGAGAAGCTGCGGACCCTCAGGACTGCCCCGACCCCAAGGCAGGCAGCACTGGCTGTGCAGGATGTGCCTCTGGGTGGCCTTGCCCCGTGTGTCAGCGGCAGCTTGGCTGGCTGCGGGGTCGCAGCACCGAGATGGGCACTGCCGGAGTGTCCCCACGAGCTCCCATCACGGAAAAGACGGGCAGCTCCTCAGCCCGGGGCTCCCTCCTGAAAATCCTGCGTGGCCGAGCCATGCCGAGAGTCTGCCCCTGCCCTCGCCACCCCCTCGGCCACTTGAGCTGCCTCGCTCCAAGGCTGGAGTTTCACTGTCCCTTCACGGTCCCCTCTGCCCTCAGGGGTCGGTCTGAGCCGGCCCTTCGTGCCCCGGGGGGTTATCGGTGCTCTGGGCAGCGGAGCCGGGCTGCTGGAAGCCCAAAACGGGAGCCTGAGTGCTTACACAGCACTTATCCCCCAGAACTGCTGCGCCAGCGTTAACTCATTAAACTGACCCCGCTGCTCCCGGAGCAGAGGGCAGGACTCCGGGAGATGGGAAACCCCTTGGAAAGCCGGGCAGCGGGGATATCCCTGAAGAAAAGGGCGGGAGAGGCCCCGCGGTTCCCCCTTCACCGGGGCCGCGGGCCAGCACCGGGCATCGGCTGCCCGGGGCGGTGGGGCCGAGCAGGACGGGTGCTCCGCTAGGTGGATGTGGCAGAACCTCCGCCGGCTGCGAGGGGTCCTGCGACCCCCAGGGAGCCCCCAGTAACAGCCGCGTGCTCCTTCCACGTCCCGTGTCATCCCCCAGCACACGCTGTGCGGCAGCAGCCGCGGGACAAGGGAGCGACCGCAGCGAGCACCGGGCAGTGCCCTGCGCTGCCACCGGGCCCCGCGGGACCGGGAACGGCCCGGCAATAGTGTGGGGAGGGACGTGTCAGCGCTGCGCCCGCGGGACCGCCGGGACAGGCGGTGCTGCCAGGGCCGGCCCGGCCGAAGCGCAGCGGGAGCGACCGCTGTGCCCGGCGGGCGGCGGAAGCCCCGCGCCTCCACATCAATGCAGCCCCCGGCCCGGCCGCCACCCCGCCCCGGCGCCGCCGCTCTTCAAAGGCCCTTTGGTGGCGGCCGCGCCCTGCCAGTGCCGGGAACCGCCCGCGGCGGGGCAGCCCGCACGAAGCGGCTCCGCCACAGCGCGGGCGGGACCGCGACCGCTCCGCGCCCACCGCGGGGCGGTGCCCGCCACAAAGATGGCGCCGGGAGGGCGGGGTGACCGCGCAGCCTCTGCGCATGCTCCACGTAATTCCCCCAAGCGCGGGCTCCGCATCGCGCATGCGCTCCACACCCGCGGCCCCGGCGCAAGATGGCGGCGGCGGGGCGGGCGAGGCGGAGGTGGGGCGGCGGCGGTGGCGGACGCAGCGGTGCCCGGTGCCTGCAGCCCTCGCGCGGCCCCTCCCCGCGGCGCCGTAACGGGCTCCTGTCTCCGCAGCCGCCCCCGCGGGCCAGGCGCGGGACGCCCCGCTATGAGGATGCGGCCCCGGCGCGCCAGCGGCGAGCACGGAGCGACGGCCACGCGTCCCGCCAGGCAGCCCGCCACCGTAAGTACCCGCCCGGCCGGCCGCCGCCCCGCTTAGGCCGCGCCCCCGGACCGCTCCCGGCCGGACTGCAGAGTTGTCGCCGCCGCCGCCTCCTCTCCGCACTCGCTGGGCGCCCCTGGCCGCCCGCCGGCCCCGGCCCGCCGCGCCGAGGAGCTCCGTGCCGTCTTCGCTGCCGGCGGGGCAGCCCCAGGAGGTTCCCGGCCGCTTCCCCGCGCAGACACGGTGCCCCGGTGCCCCGCGAGCGCTGCGCTGCTCCGCTCCGCTCCGGGCCCGCCGGCCGGCGCTCGGAAAGGGGATGGGTGCCGGTGGGGAAGGCGATGGCCTGGCTCCCGGCTCCTGGAGCAGCCGTGGTTCTGGGATGGGGGAGAACCGCGGGGTTGTCCCGGGGGGCTGTCGCTGATCTCCTTTGTCTGCATTTGCTGTTGTCTTGTACAAAATTCTACCTCGGCGAAATGGAAACAAATACCGGTCCTGTTTGCTGTACTTCTTTACTCTGTGTCTCCTTTACCCCTCGCTGTGGTCTCTGGTTGTGCTGCTGCTCTAGGTTGTAAGCTCTCTGGGCAGGGACAGCGTTGTACCGTGTTTGTGAAGCACTGTATGCATTGCCATGGTGTATAAAAACATACCGTAATCACCATAAAATGCTTCCTCTGGATCCCTGTCACTGTCTAAGTCCCAGTGTAGTTACATAAAAGTAGAGTGGCTTCTGCCAGGATTCCTGTTAGTTTGGCTGTTTCCTTTTCGCAGACCTTAAGGGTACTTGGATTTAATACTTGTTAACACTGATCAAGTGATAAAACTTCTTGGCTACTTCCACCATTCCAGTTTATCCATAAATGGGAGGAGGCAGAGCCAGTCACCCTGTTTGACAGCTCTTTTGAGCGATGGGTGGTGAAAAACACTGGCAGGTCACTGGAGCTGGCATGTGCCATCCAGGCTGGCCAGGGCTCCATGCCAGCGCTGTCTGTGATCCTGACAATCATGACTTTGGGAGCTCTGGTCCCCCCAGTACACACCAGTTCACTCCAGGGTGTGCTCTGTAACGTGCAGGATGCAGCAGCAGCTGCATGTGCAAGTGTAGCTTTAGCTTGAGGAGGAGGGACTAAACATCCCTTGGAGGCTTCCTGTGCTCCTGCCTCACAGCCCTGCTGTCTCCAGGGTCCCTGTACCCACGGGCTGACACCAGTCTGAGCTGCTGCCACTGGCCCAGCTCACCTTGGCACCTTTGTGAAGTGGCTGTAAGGACGTGGTGGGGTTGGAGTTCAGGGAGTGTGAGATTGCACAACGCTCACTGCTGAGGCCATTAAAGGTCCCCAGTTGTGTCGTGCACTCTGCAGCAGGCACAGGGCATTACCTGCTTGCTCTGGGGGCAAAGACCCAAACTCCAGGTGTCCACAGTGTCCCACACCTTCCCTTGTGTACCCTGCCTGGAAAGATGGAAACATCTTCTGAGGAGCTGAAGGAGTTGAGTTCCTCAATGCTGACCTCAGCCAGTGCTGTGGGCAACTGAGCTACTGACCACTCACTCTTGACCAGTTTTTGCTCCTGCCATTCTGTTCTGAAATAGCCACTGGCCTTTATGTGCAGTGAAGGCTTCAAATCCAAGTGACTTAGCCCCCAAAGTCCAGAGTTTTTATTGGAGAGCTCCTGCACGTGGCTCCTGCTGCCAGGTAGTGTGCTGCTCAAGTGAGGAGCACACTGTGCACAGCCTTGTGCTGCTGCTGCCCTGACTGTGCTGGTGTGTGCTGTGAGGTGTCTCCAAAGCCTGAATAGAGTTAAGTGTCTGAGGTAGCTGGGAATTATGTAAAATGCCTTGTTTCCCCCCAGTTCATTGGCAGTGTGTTTTGGGCTGCCAGAGAAGAGCAATCTGTGGCGCTGTTTCAGAAACTTCCCCAGGGGAAGAGTGGTGACTAAGAGAGGAAAAGCCTGGCTGTTTCTCTCCAGCTGGCAACATTAAATTATGATTAAGAGGAGCTTTATTGTTCCAACAGACCTTCTTTTGCATAACTGTTGTTATGCAGATGAAAAAGCAGCAAGGGTCAAAACAGCTGGCTGAGGCCCTGCTTGTGGGACTAGGACTAGGACTAGGACGTGTCAGCCTGGGACACGCAGAGGGTAATAATTCAGGAGCTCCTGACTCCCAGCCTGTGGTTTTCTGAACCACAGAAGTTGTTAGTGAACCTCCAGTGCTATTTTCTAGAGCAGATTTTTTTTTTTTAATGAAAGGCTTTTGTTGAAATGATGTGCAGTTATGTGTGTGAGAGTTGATTCAAACTGTCTCTGAGGATAACAGATCAGACCTGGCCAGTGGTTTTGGTGTGGCAGAAGGTGGCACATAATCACAGAGGAGCTTATGTTATTTTTTTATGATCTGATGCTTCACTCTTTGGAGAGATCTAGCTTGAAAGGGAATATTTTGAATGCTGGCCTGAAGAACACCCTGACTAACCCCATTTAATGCTGAGCATTCCTCGTAGCTCGTTGTATCCAGGATAACAGTTGTTTTTCAGGGCTGAGGTGCGGTTTGCATGTACTGGTTCAATCCCTGTTTTTTATCAGAATGAACTTGTATTGCTACACCTGAGTGTGCCAAGCAGATATGGGACCTTTTCCTGCTGTAACACTGGATATTACTCTGTTTTTTCCAGTGTGGTTGCTGAGAAATGGCCAATGAGAATCACAGAAGCCCTGCGGAGGAAGCGTCTCTCATGAGTCACTCACCTGGCACCTCCAACCAGAACCAGCCCAGCTCCCCCAAACCCATGCGCCTGGTACAGGACCTGCCAGGTACCAGCTCTGCCCTCGGGCACTCTGCAGGGCCCTGCCAGGGGGGAAGGGGCTGAAACAGAGCTGCCAAGGGAGGCCGGGAATCGTGTGTGTTCAGAGTGTGCTGTGACAGTGCTGGGCACCTGCAGGACAGGTCTGTGGTGCAGGATGCTCCTCTCCTGACTCTCACTGTCCTCTCAGATGAGCTGGTGCAGGCTGGCTGGGAGAAGTGCTGGAGCAAGCGGGAGAACCGCCCCTACTACTTCAACCGCTTCACCAACCAGTCTCTGTGGGAAATGCCTGTGCTGGGACAGCACGATGTCATAGTAAGTGCTCACTCACCTTGGGAAGCTCTGCCAGGACTGGGGTCTTCATGGTCTGTGGGAGGGTCTTCTGTGCCTTCAGAACTCCTTGCTCGGTCCATTGTCTGGCATGATTCTGGGGTAGTGTTCCTCTGTCAGGTGTTGCTGTTCCAGGAGTCATGCACCTCTCAAAGAACAGTCAGCCTGGGGGATTTGTGATGAGTTTTTCTCATTATTTTTAAAAAGCATATAGACATCTAGAAGAGAATCTTTCAGCTTTGTGCACGTGTGACTAGGAATAAGGACATCCTTATTTGCATCCACGTGGGAGCTGGGAGCAGTGCAGTGGGATGCTGCAGTGGCAGTGGGTGAGCTTGACGTGTGCTGTTGTTGTTTGGACTCTCATAGTCAGACCCTCTGGGACTGAACGCGGCTCCAATGCCGCTGGAAGGTGGGGTGGCAGATGCTTCTGTGGAGAGCAAGCAGAGGAAGAGGAGGTTCTCAGAAGAGGTTCCACCAAGTGGCAACAGTGTGAAGAAGCCCAAGGTGGGTATGGTGCTCTGAAACAAACATGTGCAGTCTGAAACCAGGGGGGGCTGGAGGGCTCACAGGGGTCTCCTGCGTGGTGTTCTGGTGTGGGACTG